GGACATACAAAGCAACAAAGAGATAATCTTATAAATACGTTAGAAACACATGCATGAAAGAAAAAAACATTAAAATACACATCTAACGGTTCATTTTCCTGACATCACATTATCTGACCTTTTCGACATATAATATTAAATAATATCATATATAAATTCTAGAATAAATATACCAAACAGGAGAAAATAAATGTTCTAAAACAAAAAATAAAGAAAACATTTTAAGGAAATCCAAGTGTGAAGTTCTGTTAAAATTTTTTTTTAAATAAGTATGTTCATTTACAACCATTAGACAACTTGTCAAGGCCAAGCGACATGTTAGTAATAACAGATACCAGAACAAAGAAATCATTTACTTATCTCCAATCGACAATGAGAATGAGCTCATTATGGAGCTTCTCATAAGTGTGTAAAACTCTTGCTAGATTTTTCTAGCATCTCAACATAACCGCTAGGATTTTAATAACTTCTCCTGGTGAAAATATACCGAAGGAATAACCACCTTCACTCCTCCCTCTCCCCACCGGCATCAAAGCGGACTTACAAGTCTCCATCTTCACACTTCCTATCCAGAATCCCACCAGCAGCAGCGGGACCTGAGCTGGAGGAGCCCAGAGTCCCTCCCGTGCTGGTCATGGTCATCCTCCACTCCTGCCAGGGCCACCGGCCGGGTGTCCCTCGCTGCTGTGGGCTGCGGTCCTTCTACAGCTGTGGTTTGGGGGTTCTGGGTTTTCTTGCTCCACTTTGCTTTCACAGTTATCTCTGAAAGGCACAAGGTCAGACTGCTCGACTCACACCTGGCATGACCAAAGCACCCAATAGCATGCTCATCAAATTATCTTATGGTTTTGTGTATTTAAACAAGGCTCAAACCTATCTGGAATTCACCCACAATGGGTGAACAAGTTCTCCACGGAAATCGAGCAAGGCTCTACAATCATCTAACTTTGATGACTCATTCTGTGTCTCGGATTTTGTTTATGTTTTCTTATATCAAAAGCATAGTTTAAGTATATTGACTCTTCTTCTAAGCTTGTGTGTATATGTGTGTGAGAGAGAGAGAAAGAGAGAGAGGAGGGTAGGGATGGAGAGAGAGGGGGGTAGGAAGGAAGGGAGGGGGAGAGAGAGAGAGGGAGAGAGAGAGAGAGAGAGCACTTGCACACAGGCACATGCTTTGTTTACATTTCCTCCTAAACTTGTCCATCCTTGCCAGCTAACCAGACACTGTCGGCACACAAGAACTCACAGGAGGCTGCGCTCAGCCCTGCTCGTGTATAATAATGACTGGCTGAGGAGCAGAGGAAAGCATTTCGATGCATCATCCCCTCTAAACCACAAGCACCAGGAGTCTGTAAGGTCCGAAGTGGAGATGCTGAGCTGCTCCATCCACTGTCCCAAGAGGAAAGAAGGTGAAATGTGGTGTCAGGACCAGAGACCTCTCCACTGGGAGGAAGCAGAGGCAGAGCTGGGGCACGGCGATCGTGGGTTTGCGGTTGCAGACACCGTTTGAACCAATCTTAATTCTCACGGCCCTGTGGGCAGCTTGGAAGGCCGGACTCCCGCTCAGCAGAGCGCCCTCTCCCAGCTCTGCTGGCGCTTAGCAGTTAACATGCTAACCCTGGGTGCTCATTCTTCCCATCCTGAGGTCGCCGTGAAGGCAAACAACTCAGAACACTGGATGTGATGCCTACTTTATTGTCTGTAACATTCTCTGTCTCCTTGGAGCAGAAGTGAGGAGATTTTTTTTTTCGATTCTAACTAGTTGGAAGGGAGACTGATGGCTGTAAGACACGTGTGATCATCTCTGCCTTATTTTCCACACTAGGTTGAAGTTTCTTTGAAATAACCAAATTGAAAAGACAAGTACGGATTACGAACACCATAGCTTGTAGAACTGAACTGAACAACACAGAATATCGTTTACCACTGACTACGATTTAAAGAAAGAAGTCACGCTCCCCGTACACATTCACTAAGTCCTACGCAGCCAGCACTCCATTTTCTGGAAACCAAGACTCCATCAAAAACTCTCACACGATTGAACATGTGCAGACATTGCAGCCATCTCCCGCCTGTTCCCCGCTGGCCATGGTGATCTGGCTAAATTAGGTAGCTGGGTAGGTAGTTAGCCGGTTGGTCTATTACTCTCATGAGACTAAGGAGTGAAACGTGTCCTGACAAATTGCCCATGGCACCTGACTACTGAATTGACAGCAGCGACCAACTTTCTCAAAGGTACGCCTGGACACACCCTGATGTTCAGATCTGTAAGAACTCTCAGACGGAGTGTGAGCTATTAGACCAATAGACCATCAGTCATGAATGCGCTGAAAATCTCCTTCATCGGCCGCCACCTTCCAAGTGGCTACACCAGGAGGGAGGAAGAGATGCCACAGGGGCCCACAGCGGGTTTACGGCAGCGAGCTGAAGGAACAGGTGCGGGCGAGGGTCCCAGCCCCCATGGGAAGGGTACGCCGTGCTTTTCTGTTCTCTGCCGTGGGACTTCGTGACTTCGAGTCAGGTTCATCTCTCTCCCCAGCTCATTTCTCCTACCAACGCGCATCATTTCACCACCATATGGAAACCTGTTTACGAGTGCTTGGTAATCACTGTCCCTGTGTTCTAGAACATTCTGCTATCATTGTAAGTTATCCAAGCCTCTGAATAAAGACGTATTCCTTATCAACGTGGTGATGGAGCCGTAGCAGTCCCCCCATGACTCCCTTTGATCCCACTGTCTTTCAGGGCATTCAGGCTGCTGGTGTCCCGTCCGTCCACCCCAGAGCCTGTCTCCACGCTGAGGAGAATGCAGGTCAGGGCTGCCCCACACACATCCAAAGCTCAGCACCGGAGAGGCTAACCAAGTCCCTCCGTCTTCAGTAATGAAGGGTTTGCCAGATTTATTTTTAAAATTGAGACTTTTAGCTCTAGTCAGCTTGAATTAAAGAATAAACCATAAGAAGTTATAAAGGAATTGGAAGAAAAGGAAAGAAAACTAAAGCGGGTTTTTTTGTAATTTAATCCTGAAATGTTCTCACATATATAGAAGGAAATCATATTTTTGCCAAGTAGTGTTAGTGGCTCATTCTTGTAATCCCAGCTACTTGGGAGGCTGAGGCCTAGAAGATATCACTCCTGACAGGAAAGCTCACCACGGCGTGCCTTCTAAACAACAGTAAAACGGGGTTGGAGGCATGGCTCAAGAGTTGCAGCATCAGCTGAGCTGAGCTGAGCCGCATGAGGCTCTGACTTCAAACCTCGGTACCAGGAAGAAAAGACAAAAAAAATAGCACTACTAAATCAAAGAACTATCTTCCTATCAAAAATGGTTTATCAATTAGCTTTATCTTGTTAAGTATAATAACTAGTAAAGCTTTTAAATTAGGTAGAAAAATAAACTATTCAAACAACGTAATTATGCAAAAAGTACAATATTTATTTATCTGGTTTGTAGCTCAGATTTAATTAGTTTTGTCTGTTTCATTTACTATTTGCATCTAGCCTTCAGAATCATATTCTAGTTTTCCTTACCATAAGGACAATGTGATATTATTTTTATACCTTTTAGTAAATACTTTGTTCTGGACAAAGGAACTATGATCAGCGGGAACAGCAAGTCAATGGTTTCTCAACAGATTTCTATTGAACGCTTTTCTTTAACCTTGCTTGGCACACTGGAACCATTCTGACTTGCAGATAGTCAACGTTTATTGAGACTCTACCATGGGCCCCACCTAGCATCTTAGTGTGCGTTTCACAATTACTCACAAAGTGGATAAATCATTGCTAGCTAACAGGCTGCGAAATCTTTGCCATGTTTTCAAAGAAGTTTTCCCAACCACAAATATCTAGAGAAATGAAACTGCTTATTCCAATTCTGCTTCTTCCTCAAGTTTCTGGTCTTTATAAGTTTCTGTTTTATCTTCTGCTACAGTTGAGTGACACTGGAAATGGGAACAGAATGTATAAATTAACCTCAGAGTTCTTCTAAGTATATTGTAAATTACTCATTATAGTCCTAAAGGCAATGTGAATTTTCCTGTCACTCACTAACTCCAAAGTATTAGGAAAGTTTACTTACAGTAGGTAAATATGATTGCATAAACATATTCCTTTATTGACCTGTCTCCAAGTTTAAAACTCGACTGTCTATTGTCTCCTTTCTTCTTCTTCCCTCCTGCAGCCCACCTCCCCTCTAATGCCATTCTAAAGCCACCTTCGCTATTTTGTTCTTCAGTGCCTATTCCCAATCATGTGTTGGCTCTGTAGACGACAGCTGCCTGGCTTGGAACCCGGATCACAGCTTGGGTAATCTCATTCTGTCTATAAAACCAAAGGGCATTCCCCAAGAGCACCATTCATACTTGCTTACAAACACAAGGGCCATACCGACTTTGTATCACTACCAAGAAGTCAAACCACTGAAGGATCAAGGAGAGAAGGGGAGGGGAGAGAGAGGAAAAGAGGGTAGAAGGGAATGAGAGGGAGAGAAGAGGAGAGGGGGAAGAGAAGAAGAGAGAAAGAGAAACAGGGAAGGAGAGCAAGGGAGCTCTTCCTGGACAACTTCTCTATTACTCATGTGAACTTTATCAGGACTTGCAAGTCTTTGTGCACTTGTTCTCCACGGGCCCCAGCACCTACATCTTCTGCACCGCAGGTCCCATCGCTAAATCCCACTGGGCCCTGGAGGCAGAGCAGCGGCCTTTCCAAGGTGGTGTCTTGTGGTTCTCATTCACAGGCCTCACCACACCACTGCCTTCAGCAATCCTGCGCTCAGACCGGTTGGTAATAGAGCCACGGCAGCACCGTGGCTGTGTGGTCGTCTGCTGTCGATTTCCTTGTATGAAGCGGAGGCCGCTGTCTGGGGAGGGAGGCTTCCTGAGGTTGAACGCTCAACTCTGCGCACGGCACTCAGAACGGTGCACACCTCCACAAGCGCAGATCCTTCAATGAACACGACGGAGGCGCTCGCTTGTCATGACACAGGGAACTGTCTTTTTTTTTTTTAATTCAAACCATAAGCATCGCCTGAATATCTTACACAGAGAGCCATGAATCTGTTCTCCTCTCCTAAGCCCTCCCAAAGACCGAAGGTGCACAGCCTTTCTGTTCACCCAAGTGCAGCTCTAATACACTGTGGAGTACAACCATGTCCTGAAAAAGTCAGGCCAACACAACTAAGACGAGGTGAAGAGCCCCGGGGAGGAGTCAGACTTTGCTGCTTCCGAGAGGACAGTCTTGATCTTCTGCTACAAGGGGGGTGGGCAATTTTAACCTCTTTATTCGCATTGCCACAATGGCGTGTGGCAGCATGGAACTTGCAAGGGAGAAAAGACTCAGTCCGTGAAGCGCTGGGTGAGGAAGCGTCCGTGCCCAGCCCGGCCGGGGACTTTGCCTCATTTTAAAACATTCCTGGGCCTCTTATTGATCAAAGTCACTTATAGAAAAGAGGAGGGCCCGTATCTGAAGCGAAACGGTATTATTAGAAAATGATATCGCGAGCATTACGATGTATAATTCATGCCGCTTTCATTTGCCCAGGCCATTGTAAAAATCCATAAATCGTTTTCTTGTTCACGTGCTGCTTAAGTGCAATTTGTCATTTTCTATTAGAGGGGTTGTGGCGGCCCAGAGAGGGCTTTTAATTCACTGTTTAGAGTTTAACAAAACCCTGGCCCTGCCGGGTCTCTGAAGAGACAGGGCACCGCAAAGCCAGGCAAGCTCCCGGAGGCCTAAACCAAAGGAGAAGCAAGTTTCCACTCACTGTCTCAAGACCCGTGCTTGGAGGCCCATTCCTGGACCAGGACGGGCTGTTCTCTGGGTGTTTGGTGGCCCAGTCGTAAAGCCAGGACCTGGGCTGTTCTTTGAGGGGTTGGAAGCGTGGTGTGACTAGAGTAACTGGGACAATTACACTACACCACCAGTCAGGAAGTCCATGCGCCACTCTCCGACCTCCTGGCATGGATCCGAGGCTCCCCTAGGGCCCGGCCAACCTCCCTCCTGCTATCCCTGAAGGATGGGCCCGGGGTCATCCTCTGAGCCAGAACTAGCCGAGCCCAGGCGGCTCAGCCCTCAGCCCCCTCGTAGCAGTCCCTGGGGAGAAATTAAGTTTCCCTCCAATCCTTAAACTCATCAGTCACTTTTCTGTCCGGGCACACTGCAGTGGGCTGAGGATTTAGAAACAAATTGCTTTCTGGTCACCTTAAGCCATTGCAAACATGCAGTCCTCCAAAGACTGGCTGCGCCAACTTTCCTTTTGGCCCTTTCCAAAAACACACAGGGGGGAGAGAGAGAGAGACAGACAGACAGAGAGAAACAGACAGAGAGACACACAGAGAGACACACACACAGAGAGAGGCACCCCAACGAGGTTTGTAACACACCTTGGGGTCCTGGGACCCCCTAGTCCAGCCTTGCTGAGAGAGGCACCCCAACAAGGTTTGTAACACACCTTGGGGTCCTGGGACCCCCTAGTCCAGCCTTGCTGAGCCCAGGGAAACTCATACCCACCCCACCATGGAAAATGACGTTAATCAAAGCCAACATTTATAACTTACCTCCCAATGGCTTAAAACCAGGCCTATGCCTGCAGCAGGGTGTGCTGGGGAGCGGGGTGGGGAGGGCCGCTCCCTGGCAGGTCTCTGCCCCCAGTCCCCAGGCCAGGAAGTTCCCGAGAAGGCAGACAGCACAAGAAGCCGGCGCTCACGAGCTCACATCCCGAGCACGGTGATAAGGACTACACTCAGGTCCAAGAGTAGGAGAAAGTTGTGTCTGCGTGTGCATATGTGTGTGTATATGTGCATGTCTACATGCATGAGTGCAGTGTTGGATGCATGTATGCAGGTGTGCACGTGTTACATGCATATGTGCAAGCGTGTGTGTACGTATTAGTGTATGTGCTCCTAGTGCATGTATGCATCGTGTTGCATGCACACATCTTCATGCACATGTGTGCTGCATGTGCATGTGTACAGTGTATGTTGCATGTGTGTATGCTCTGTGAACGTGTATGTATATATGTGTGGCATGTATGTGTATGTGCTCATGCTATGTGTGCATGTGCATTGTGTGTATGCGTGTGTGCACACGTGTGCTGCATGTGCATTGTATAGTCTGTTGTGAGCATGTGTGTTTGCATGCACATGTCATGTGCATGTGTGTGCGGATACATGTGTACCCTGTGTGTGCATGTGTATGTGTGTATGTGCTCGTGGTATGTATGTGTGCACGTGTGTGCTGCATGTGCAGTGAGTGCAGCATGCTCGGGTATCTCTTGCGTGCGCATGTGTACATGTGTGTGCGTGCACACTTGCACACGTGTGCATACGTGTGCTGTGCTGTATCAGGGGCACGGGCCCCGCGTGCGCCTACAGGGTCACCCAGTGGTCCCATGGGAGTCCTGCGTGGGGGCCTCGGGCAACGCAACGGCCGGGGCCGCGCTCCTGTCCCAGCAGGGCCGACCCCAGGCTGCTATCAACCGCTCTGGCTGTCCCTGGAGGGCGCCTTGCCGGCTTGAGACCTCTGCCAGGAAACCGCGCCGCCCGCGGGGCCCCCACGCACCCTCCCCTGCTCCAGAGCCCCCGCCTCGGGCGGCCCAGGCCGCCGGCTGCAG